AGCTTCAGAAAAGTGGATTGTCACCGGATCCGGTTTTTTGTTCCCCCCCGCTTTCCCTTGCAAAAAACACTATAAAATGAAATTTCTTGTTCAAATGTAATCAAATTTCAAGAATCCCTTGCAAAAAATAAGGTAAAGTGGACATTCGCGCGCGCAAGACGAAATCCTTCCAAAACCTTAGGTTTCGTAGCGATTTTAACATAAAAACATCAAAAACCCAATGGTTTTTTAAGAAAAAATTGTCAAAATGTCCTTCCGCGCGCGCTGTCCGAATCCCACAAAACCAATGGTTTTTCAACATTTATGTTACATGAGCTCGCGCGAGCTACTTTTTCTTGTTCTAACATAATCAAATTTCAATAATCCCTTGCAAAAAATAAGGTAAAGTGGACATTCGCGCGCGCAAGACGAAATCCTTCCAGAACCTTAGGTTTCGTAACGATTTCAACATAAAAACATCAAAAACCCAATGGTTTTTCAAAAAAAAATGTCCAAATTTCATCCCGCGCGCGCTGTCCGACTCCCACAAAACCAATGGTTTTTCAACATTTATGTTACATGAGCTCGCGCGAGCTACTTTTTCTTGTTCTAACATAATCAAATTTCAATACTCCCTTGCAAAAAAAAGTAAAGTGGACATTCGCGCGCGCAAGACCAACAAAAAACACGACGATCTCAGGAACTTGCCCCAAAAATGTGACCAACTCCGCTCTCTCTGTCTCTCTCTCTGTCTGCTCTCTGTCTCTCTCTCTGTCTGTCTGTGTCATGTATTGTATGTCACAATTGCAGGATGCTGGGCACACGCGCGCCCCGAATAAGTGACCAAGTTCTGTGGGTGTGTACCCCACGCCAGTGTAGTAGCCACGGTCGTCCGCACGCCACGAAGTGAAGTGTCCCAACGTCATAGGGCGGGAAGCTGGGTTTGGGTGGTCGCGAAGAGTCGTTTGGATATTTGGTAGAGCTTGAACTGCCCCCCCACGAAGTGGGGGTATTGTCTCGCGTCGCATGAAAACCCTGGCACTGGTGAGAACACTGAGCGTTCGGGTAAAATGATTGTTGTTGTTGTTGTTGTTGTTGTTGTTGTCGTTGTTGTTGTTGTTGTTGTTGTTGTGGTTGTGGTTGTGGTTGTTGTTGTTGTTGTTGTTGTTGTTGTTGTTGAACTTGTTGTTGATATCGTTGTTGAATTTCCACGCCTAGATAATAATCATCGTTGACTCTCTCTTCTGCTGACCATTTCAGTTGTCCCAACACTATTGTGGTGTTGACTTCTCGGTTTGAAGAGGGCGCCCCGCGTCCCATCTCATTCTACCTTCCTCTTCCTGTTCCTCCCTCCTCCTCCCACCTCCTCCCATCATGATCGCATCGTCCCATCATCCTCATCGTCGCAATAAGATTCCTCATCATCCTCCTCATCCTCATCACCATCAGCACCATCGGCATCAACAGTATCATCATTATTGTCATCAGCAGCATCATCCGCATCGTCATCATCATCAGCATCAGCGTCATCATCATCAGCATCAGCGCCATCATCATCATCATCATCATCATCATCATCAGTAGCATCATCATCGTCATTATCACCATCACCATGACCGTCACCATCACCATCGGCATCATTATGATCGCCGTTACCATCACCACCATCGTCATCATCGCCACTATACCGGCGCACCCCTTTTTTTGATGACGATCCCCATTCCAAACCATCCTGTGGTGTTTGGTCCTCATTTCGAGGAGACAGCGCCCCGCGTTCCTTCTTTTTTTTATCATCCTCCCCCTCCTCCCTCTTCCCCTGCGTGCCTCTGCTCTTCGCATCAGTCTACCATGTTGGCACACCCCTCACACGCTTCGTGGCCCTACAGGAAGCTCCACCGGAGGCCCCAGTGGCGGTGTTCGCATGAGTCCCTGCCACCCATGCCAACACACCCCGCACATGTTTCGTGGCCACATCGGGAGCTCCACCGCAGGCCCCAGTGGCGGTGTTCGCACACGTCCCCGCCACCCATTTCCGCAAATCCCTCAAACGTTTCGTGGCTCAACTTGGGAGGTCCATCGAAGGCCCTACTGGCGGTGTTAGCAAGCGTCCCCGCCACCCATTCCTGCACACCCCTTGCACGCTCCGCGGCCCCATAGGGAGCTCCACCGAAGGCCTCAGAAGAGGTGTTTGCATGCGTCCCCGCCACCCATTCGGCTCACCCTGCACGCGTTTCGTGGTCCCAGATGGAGCTGTACCGAAGGCCTCATGTCGGCACTCCCCTCGCACTCTTCGTGGCCCCATAGGGAGCTTCACCGAAGACGGTATCCACCGGTGCGCTACTCACAACTGCATATCGTTGGGTCCTTCGTCTGGGCAATCTCAAATTCTTCACGCCTCGCGTAACCCCACCAGCCCATCCAGCAACGATGCTCAGATGAACAAAGCGCTTGGGAACCCGTCAGGGAGGAGGAATCGGAGGAGGATGAGGAGGAGGAGGGGGAGGAGAAGGAGGATGAGATGGAGGAGGGGGAGGAAAAGGAGGAGGAGGACGACGAGGAGCACGAGGAGGAGGGGCAGGGGGATGGGGGAGGAGGGAGGAGGGAGGAGGAGGAATAGGCGGATGAGGAGGAGGAGAAGGAAAAGGACCAGCAGAAGGGCCAGAGGCGAGCAGAAGGGCCAGAGGCCTCCTGGGTGCCTCTCGGAGTATCTTCGGATGTCTTTTGGGAGCTTGCTGAAGGCCTCTTGGGGCGTCTTGGGGTCCTCTTGGTGGACCCGCGGGCCTCTTGGAGCGTCTTTGGTGTGTCGGGGAGCCTCTTTGGGCCTCGTGGTGGCCTCATGGGGGCCTCTTGGGGGCCTCTGGGGACCTCCTGGGCGCTTCTTGGGGCCACCTTGGGACTCTCTTTGGGCTCTCTTGGGAGCCCTGTAGGGCCTCTTGGGGCTGTCGTGGGGGGGGGGATATCGGTGAACAGAGGGGGGTCCTACCGTTTAGCCCCCCTTCTGAGGCCATCAAACAAGCCTCTTGGGACGCTCTTGGGGAGATCTTGGGCGGTCTTGGGGCTGTCTTGGGGGTATCTTGGGCCCCCCTTGAAACTGTCTTGGGCCATCTTGGACCCACATTGACGCCTCAAAACCGCATCAGAAACGAAAAGGGGATAAGGCACAAATCATCGATTTGCCTACGGTAGGTTTGCGTCGTGTCGACCAGCGGCGACCCCGCCGTTGGCGTTCAATGTTGAACGCCGCCGGCGACCCATAATCGATCGATGTTGAACGATCGGACGTTGCGGCAGCGGCCGATCGTTCAAGGTTGAACGATCCCCGCGGTGTCAGAAACCAACGCCGGGGTCGACACGACGCGAACCTGCCGTATGGTTGTGGAAGGTGTCGGCTTCCCCGGAGGTCTTGAGGGGTGTCCAAGAGCGCATGGAGCCGTCTTGTCGCCTTCTTGGGGCTTCTCGGAGGCATAATGTTAGCTATCTTGAGCCGTGTAGGACTATCTTGAGCGATCTTGGAGGCCATCTAAGGCCCTCTGAGGCCCTCTTGGAGCCATCTCAGGCTATTTTGGATGCCCTGACACCTCGCGAAACCCCCCGTCCAGGTCCAGGGGAGGGGGCTTGGGGAGGGGTCAAGACATCCTCCAGATAGCAAGCCGTCTAGCTCACTCCCACCCGCCCTCCCAACAAAGTAGCACCCGAGCCTGAGCATATTCAGCTGTCGTCTTTGGATGGACAGCTATTGGGAACCAAATTCGACCCCATGTGCGCGACGCTGGGGCGAGGTGCGCCGCGCGTGCCAGGCGCGCCGCGCGCGCCAGGCACCCCTGGGGCCTGAGCGTGCCAGGCACGCCCGGTGCGCCAGATGTGCCACGTGCTCCGCGTGTGCCAGGTGTGCCGCATACTCCAGCCGCGCCAGGAGCGCCACGTTCGGGGCACTTGCAGAATATGTCAGGTGCTCCCGCGCACGTGACAGCACTCATCGGGAAACATGCCCGCCCCTACCATCCGCGTCGAAAACCAATACCCATTATTGTGTCTGGTAGGCCTGCGCACAGCAGGTCATACGCCACCACTTGACAGTGATGATCGCGGGGCGGCCACGCATGATCCCGATTCAGCCGCGAGGTGCATGATGTGCTACTTGTTGTCAGGGATGGCAGCGCTGCACGCAGCAGGCAACATGCTGACACCCCCGCCGTCCCTGTCAATTAACGACACAGAGTGCTTGCGGGCCTCACGAACATGACTCCAGATTTTGCCCCAAAGTGTATTTTGTATTGTTTTTTGACAGGGGTGGTCGGGGAGCCGCATGGGGTTGTCCGCGCATGCTCCACATGTGGAGACAGAAGGTGTTTTATATTGTTTTGACAGCGATGGTGGGTGGGAGGGCCTCATGGTGTCCTCATTGTTCCTGGTTGGCTGCCGGTCGCCTGGGGGAGGGGTGTATATCTATGGGGAACAGTGACAAACCCTTCTTTGAACGTGAAGAAGGGGTTTTTGGAAGAGGAAAGACAGACATGGTTAGAACACCTGCGCCCAGAGAACAAATCAAATTAAAGTGTTCCTCCCAAGACTCGCACCATGCTTTTTTCACAAGGGAAAGCGAAATACACCAAACTGGGCCCCTGATCCCCGAGGTACAACAACAACAACGGCTCCCGCCTGATACTTCCTCACAATTCGAGTCGAGTCTTGTTCGAGTCGAGGACATTCAACCTGATGCCTTCGAGGCCTCTGTGATCGTGAATCTTCCCAGAGGAGGATGAGCTGGAACACCGGATGCGGTTTCTCGCTCTCAGTCCCCAGTCCCCTAGCTCCCCCCAGCACATTCGCAATTCAGGAGAGGACAAACTCGGCGATCCAGCCCCGAGGGGGCTATTCGGACGCACCACTATCGAGGATGGGCGTCCGCGATAGGATATCCTGTAAGCTGGCCCCAAATGTTCGGTCCAAACCCTCCAACGTCAAGGAATGGGGTCGTCATGCGCCCAGTGAGAGGAGCATCAGAGGGAGGAGAGCCGGAGGTTCTGCAGCTGCTGGATCGCCACTACGAGGCCGTCCAAGCGGCCGAGAAGGCCGTCGGCTGCAGGCCGCTGTGGCACGTCGCGCACCTGACACTGGAGGGGCCGAAGTGGGGCACGCACGCAGCAAGCAGCAGGATCTATGCGACAGCCATCGCGTCTCGCTCACCGCGCGCGCCCGCCTGTTCAGGCGGAGGGAGCCAGCAGTGGAGCCTGGGAGACCACGAGGGGCAACCATTTGAAGCACCCTGGCGCAGGACCCAACGGTGTCAAGAGTGAGCACCGCAGGGCAGGGAGGGAGAGGGAGGGGGAGCCCCCAGGGGCCACGAAGTGCGAGAGGGGTGTGCCGGGATGGGAGGGGGCCGCATGTGGACGCACACGCTGGGGCCCCTGGGGGTGGAGCCCTCGCAGGCCACGAGCCGTGTGAGAGGTGGTTCGGAGACGCGGGCGGGCGATCGCATGCGGACGCCCGTTCGGTGCCTGCGGTTGAGCGCCCCGTCGGAGGCCACGACACGCGCGAGGGGTGTGCACAAAAGTGGCGTCGGGCGGCCGCGCGTGGACGCTCCCACCGGGGACTTGCGTGGAGCTCCCTGCAGGGCCTGGCATCGCTCGGACGTGTGCATTTTTTCTCGGCGAGAACCATTGAGGACGATCTTGGACCATCGAGCAGCAAAAAAAACACGCACGAAACCGAAAAGTGCACGGGAAATGGACGTCCGAGCGATGGCGAGAGGGGGCCACGAGACGCGGGGACAGAGGCACGCGGAGGCCTGAGGCGGGGATTGGAGGGGACGCGGCGGGAGTGTGCCCAGGGGGATGGTCTGCGGACGAGCGGGCTGCCCGAAGCAAGGCGGCACCGGCGATCGGGAGCAGCCCACGGGTGCTCTCCTTCTCTGGGTGTGCCTGCTCATCGTGAGCGCCATCATGCCGTGCTTCGTCAGTGTCCCACATCGTTTCTGCGGCGAGCCCGCCGTATGTGACGATTGTTGTCAGCGGGGGGGGGTCGTGGGCACTCGCGGGCACGGATCGCAGGTGTGGGTCGCAGGTGTGGTTCGCGGGCTTGTCGCGGGGCGACTGCGCGGCGTGGGGCCACGCCTTCAACAACGACAATGCGCACCACAATACCGCGCTTCAGTCACGCTCCCAGGGACCGCTCGGTTTCTTTCTTCTGTCCGGGCAGCTGACGTCTCGAGTCCCAGACAAGATGGGCCGGCAGCTCCAACTTCGTCACGCTTCGCGTATCCCCACCAGTCCGTAGCCCTCTGGCTCAAGCCGCTCTGGGTCAAGCCGCGTGCCGCCAGGAGGCCTCCATACTTTTCCCCTCCACATTTCTCTGCTACGTATCCTGGTTCCCTCACTTCTGGCGTGGCCGCAGGCGCCCGCCGCGGCGGCCGCAATGTTTTGGCCGGATCGCCGCTGGCAGGCCGTGAGTGCTGATGGAGGTCGCCGCTGGCGGTGGCACGCTGCTGCCGCGGAAGATCCCTGGTCGCGCCCTGGCGCTGACCCCTGGAGCGCTGCTCCCATGCAGCAGCGAAACCCTCCTGTCGAGACGCCTGGGGCCCGTCGCCGCCGCCAGCGCCGGGCGGCTGCGTGGCGGCGCGACGGTTGCGAGCCGCGCCCGAGCAGACACAGTGAGGCGATCGGGCTCGTGGACGGTCTCCGCATGGAGGTCGAGGGACTTCGGCGTGATGTCCGCGCAGTGGCGCCGCACCCTTCGCGGGAGACTGGCTCCGCGAGCCCCGAGGTGGGGCTGGATCCGATCTTGCAGCAGCTTGAGAGCTTGAATTTCGCGTTCAACCATCTTCTGGGCTGCTGGCCTTGCACTTCGGAGTTGCCCGGCGTGCTCCCGGCCCATGCCGAGCAGCGATGACATGTGCGGCTGGTGCTGGATGTGGAGCCCGCCCCAGGACGCCCCGGCCCGCGACTGGCCAGTCCAAAGATCTTCGTGCCGCCAAGCCGGTCCAGGCACTGGGGCGGAACCGCAGCGTGCGGGCTGGGAAGGAGGCGTTGGCGGCGGCCTTGGCGCGGGGACTGGCGGGGGCGGAGTTGCGGATAGAGGAGGCGGCTCTTTGGGAGACGGCGGTGGCTGTGGTTGTGGCGGAGGGTTTGGCGGGAACGCTGGGCGTGGCGGAGGCGGAGGCGGACGGGGAGGTGAAGGCGGCTCTGGCGAGGTTGGCGGGGGTGGCGGCGTGGGTGGCAGAGGCGGAGGGGGAGGTGGAGGCGGCACTGGTGAGGGATGCGGATGCGGAGGTGACGGCGGCGTGGGTGGTGGAGGCGGGGGCGGAGACGGCGGCTTGGACACTGTTGGAGGCGAGCGGGGCATTGGCATTGGTGGCAGCGTTGTAGGCGGTGGCGGTTGCGGAGTTGCCGACCCTGGCGGCGAAGGCGGAAGCGTGACATGCCTGGCCGTGGGCAGTGGCCCTCCTGAGTCCCACGCTGCCTGTCACGGCGGGGCTCGTCGCATCGAGGCGGGGGCATCCACGCCGAGAAGGGCAGCCCATCTTCGGGAGCCTTTGGAGTCGCCGAGTGCCGAGCCAGGTGGCCTCGATCACGGTATGGATGTACTCGGCGGCGCGTCAGCTGGCCAGCTTCCCGAGTGGCCGGTCAGCGAGGGCACGCCAGGCAGTTCCATCTCCAACCCACGGACACCCGCTGCCACAGGCCAGCTGCTCCAGCGCAAAACGATCGGTGAAGGTCAACAGGGCATCACATATGGGTTTCTTCATGGGTCCCTGTTTGCGCAGACGATGCCGACACGCATTCTTGTTGTGGACCCGTATGGTCTAGACCCTTGCATGCATTCCCTGAAAGCGTTACGTGATGTTTGTTGTTCCACGGGCAGCCATTCAAATTCAGCGGACATGGGGAAAATACAAGCTGCACTGGCCGACATGCCGTCGAATGCAATGTTCTTAGAGGAGTTCTTGCACGATCTTATCCCAATCGTCGCTTCAACGCTGACCGAAATTCAGCTGATCACTCATGACCGACTGGTGCTCCCTTGGATGCCAGGGAAATCTTGTTTCAAGATTGAGCATATTGCTGGGGCGCAAGTCCGTCGCATGAGGACAGCGCTCCAGGCAAATGGCATAATGTTTGAACACGTTACACGTGCAGTGCACTATCGGTACATAAGGCTTGACGGAGTGGACAATAGTGTCGACATCATCCCAGATCGTGGCCTACTTCATTTCAAGGATGACCCCGCGAACTTGTCCATGCCGCCAGAGTGCCGACGCACCCACCAGTTGTTCATGCATTGTTTCACCGCCCCAGGAGATTGTGGTGGAACCGATTCCATAGATAACGAATTGTGTGAGGAACGTGTGAATACGTTGTTGTTGGCCACGGCCAGGCGATGTACAAGTTTGCCAACTGTTCACCGATCCCTGACGCAACATATTCGGAAGGCGCGGCGGACGCAGCAGCAGGTCATGAACGGCTCTGTCGATGTGCAGCAACTCCATTCGCTCACTACGAAACTACCAGATCTGCAGTATGCCCGATCATCTCTCCGAGCCCGTTCACACGATGTCGTGACCTTGTTGGGTACGAAGGCCCACGTCCCTGACGCCAGATCCTTGTCGCAGCATCCTTCCGCAGTGGCAGCCTCCACGTCGATCGCGAAGGCATACTGGAGGCGTCGGCTTTGGCGCAGCAGGTGCCGCTGCCTGAGGCCTGCGGAGAATGGTGCTTGCCAAACGGCGGATTGCCGCAAACAGACCCTGGTATTCGCTGGTTTGCCATTGGTCGCGGCGCATCACGCGGGTCATGTGGTCAACGTGCAGTGCTCTGAATGCGCTAGCAGTCGGCGCGGCCGAGATCCCCCTACAGTTCGACACTTCTCATTGTTGATTTGCGACCGCGGTGCAGTCATCGGTGCAAAGGGCAACGTCATTGAGGCGATCCGCAAAGAGACGGGTGCGCGAGTACAGGTCCCACTTTCTGATGTAGCGCCGGATGAGCATCATCTGACGGTGTTTGGCACGAGTGAGCAGTTCCGACGCGTCAGCCGCGCCATCGAGGCGGTCCTGACTGGGACCTCGGTGCATGATTCCTTGGCACGCAGCGCCACCATCCCGCTGGCGTACCAGCCGCTGCAGGCGTCTCCCGGGCATCGCTTCAGGAGCGAGGCGTTGCCGGCGCCCCTGGACCAGGCAAGAGGTAGGACACTTTCTCGATCCAGATGGCGCCCCTCGCTGAGCGGATCCCTGTCGCGGTCATCATCCACCGCGGGTTCGCACGCGCTGGATTCGCACGCTGCGGCCCGCCGTGCGGCTACTCCTCGGCCAGCCGCGACTCGCGCTCGGCCGCCCACAGCTCGCTGGCGGCAGGTTGCGGGAGGCGCACCAGCTGTGGAGGCCTATGACGTCCCAGTGCTTGACGACGAGGACAGTGACTCCGACCCATGAGCATTCTCCTCCTCCGCTCTCACACGCCCCTGGACTGCGTGCCCCTTCCTTCCTCTTCCCTGCCTTTGTGCGTGTGCCTCCTTTTTGGCTCCGTCGACTCCTCCCCCCTTGGCTCCTTCTCCCCCTCTCTCTCTCTCTCCCTCTCTCTCTCTCTCTTTTTTCTCTCTCTCTCTCTCTCTCTCCCTCTCTCTCTCTCTCTCTCTCCGTGCCTTTCCTTGCCCTTGTGGTGTGGTGTCTTCCTCTCTTTCCCCTCGCTTCCCCTCCCCCGTCTGTCGGCCCGCCCGTCCCGTGTGTCTGGTCCGTCCCCCTCCCCCTCCTCCCGCGCTGTCGCTCCTGGCTCCCCGCCCCCCCTCTCCTGGCTCCGCTTGTGCTTGGCCCTCCTTGGCCTTGTCTTGCTGGCCCCTTTGTCGTCCGAATTCGGCGTCCGGGAAGGCTCTGTCGCAGGCGCCGATTTGTTGCGAGTGGAACGCGCCGCCCTTCTTCCGAAGAGGCCGGCTGGCGCGGCGCCAGGCCGAGATGCCTGGACGGGTGGGCCTCGGCTCCCTCTTTCCTCGTCCTCCTCCTCCTCGTCTTCCGCCTCGTCCTTCCTCCCTCCACGGGTGCCTGGACCGGGGCGCGGAGAGACGCCCGCCGCTTGCCGCTACGAGAGCGGGCTGCGGTGGCCAGCGAGTGTGCCTGGTTTTTCCTCCTCCTCCTCCTCCTCCTCCTCCTCCTCCTCCTCCTCCTCCTCCTCCTCCTCCTCCTCCTCCTCCGGCTCGTGCTGTCATTCCAAGCTTGCTGAAGAGCTGGGGCGCTCAGAGGCCCCTTGAGGGCACGGCGGATCTGATTTCGGTCGCGTGCCCGCCAGGCGTGCTGGATGTTGAGGTCGAGCCTTGACGCTCGCCGCGGCCAGGGGCCCAGCCTGCCGCTGGCGAGCGACGCCGCTGGCCTCGGAGGCCGCAGGCGTTCGTGTAGAATGTCTTGGCGGAGCCGAGTGCGGTGTGACGCGAGCAGTCGCGCCCAGGACGTTGGCGCTGGGCTGCGGGCGCATTTTCCTTTTCTTGGGACCCTGTGCTGGAGCGTGGGCTGGCGGAGGCGACATCGGGACAAAAAAATGGCCCCACCGTCGACAAGATCGCAGACGTCGCGGTCCGGTGGCCCCCCTCCGTGGGAGGCCCCATCCACCCCAGACGCGTCCAAGCGCTCGGCCTCGGCTCTTCCGCCAGATACCCCTCCGACAGGTGCATTGTGCTTCGCAATAGTGGAAATGGAGGTCCCTTCCATGAAGACGAGTCCAAGGCAAAGCGGCCACAAAGCGAAGACGCTCCCTGGTATCGAGTAGACGAGGCCCCTTCTGACATCCAGTTCTGGCGGCAGTGCTGGGCTCTCGACCAGATCTACCAGCTTCGGCAGAACCCTTCGGACCTGTTTGCCCACCAGCTGTCCCCTCTGACCTTTCCCCTGGCCTTCGTGCACGCCGCGCGCGCCGAGAGACTCGCGGCCAATGAACGCAAGCACGCCTGCACCCTGGGTCTGAGCCTGAGGACCAGAGCGGCTGCCACCCTGGGCTGCGACGTTCCAGACGCCGACGACGCGCAGGCTGTCCGACGCGGCCTTATACAGCAGGCACCGCCACTTCCCCTGGGTCTGAAGCCTTTCTCTGACGATGAGATTTCTGATGCGACAGGCTCTGTCTTCCAGAGAGTGCGCCCCGCTCCCAGCATGGACACCCCCGCGCCAGGCTTGACAAACACAAGCCAAACAGCGACGCGACCAGGGCCCTTCAGGCCACCCTGAGTCACCACGCCGTACTGGTGCACGGACCCCCTGGGACAGGCAAGACCACCTTCTCTGTAGCCTGCCTGGACATGTGGGGATCCTGCTTACGCCCTGGACAGGCAGTTGCTTTGGCTGCAGGTTCCAACACAGCGGTGGACCCACCAGCTCTGGCAATGGTCGAAGCACATCGGCAGCAACGCCTCGACCCAGACACGGGGTTTCCTGGGAAGTTCGCACGCCTGGCAAGGAAGGACCGTGTCGACGAAGCGCTCGTCGACCTGACGCCGGAGGGCCACCACAAGAACGCCCATGGGGAATTCCCGTTCCAGGACGGGGACAAAAGCCAGGACTTCAGGCCCTACAAGGCGAGCCTACTACGAGATGCCAGGGTAATCATGTCCACGCACGAGGCGGCCGGGGCCCTCGGACAAAAGGACAGCCCCCACATCGTCCTCTTGGTAATAGACGAAGCTGGGCAGGCCACAGAGCATCACGCGCTCATGTCCATGGTAAATCTGATCAATAGCGGCGGTGCCCTGGTCCTGGTGGGTGATCCTAATCAGTTGCCCCCCGCAGTGCTTTCCAAGCTCGCGAACGACCTGGGACTCTATGTTAGCATATTCGACAGGATGTTTCACGCGCTCCGCGGCCAAGAGTCGGCCGTAGTTCACCTTTCGATCTGCTACCGCATGCATCCGCAGCTGCTCGCCTTCCCGAACGCAGCCTACTACGGATAGCGCATGATGTCCGGTATCATGGACCCGCTCAGGGACAGGCCAATTGTCGAAGGTACCCAATGGAGAGACATCACACCCTGGGAGCCCGGTAGACTGGCAGAGCTTGCGTCCCTCACCTCTTCCGACGAGAACGATCTCCGCACGACCCTCGAGCAACTGGACCCTCCGCCAAGTGGAGACAAGCACCGCTTCCTGTTGGTTGACACACCCTCCTGGGAAGTAACGTCAGACCTCCAACCAGACTACGCCAACCTCCCTGAGGCAGCGCAGGCCGTGGACATCGCGAGGGCACTCCTGCCCGAGCTCGAGAGAGGCACATCCGTCAGAATCGTGGTCGGGCACCAGCTCCAGACGGCTATCCTCACGGATGGCTAGCCGCAGGGCCCCCGCCGCCTATCCGGCGTCCTGCGAAATACTAAAGGTGGCACCAAGGGGAAGGCAGGCAAAGGGAAGGGCGGCTCTGCCCGCGACGGACAAGATACCCTCGGTCCTGGACCCCTTCATCTTGGCCACAGGGTGGACATTCAGCGATGGGAATCCGTCTTTCGGGAGGACCGCTGCGCCCAAACGGCCATCGGCACTTCTTTCCCTGGACTCCGACAGATTGCGGGCGAGCACGTGAAGAGCGGGGCGCTCAAGCTCACCACCATCGACTCCAGCCAGGGAGGAGAGGCGGACATCGTAATTGTACTAACCACGAGAAGCAACGGGAACCCCACAACTGGGGCTTCGTCGACGACGCCAAGCGCTTGAACGTGGCGATCACCAGGGCCAAGCGGAACATCCTGATATTGGGGGGCGGGCGTATGTTTGCCAATGCCACCTGGTCCCAACTTCGCGTGCTCTCCGAATACGGGCGGCTGACCCGTCTTTGGGTTCGCATTCGTGGCAGTGCCTCCTTGGGCCACAGGACTTCCCTGGACATCGACGAGAGTTTCGAACCACTGCATGGCCTCGCCTCCCGGGTAACCCCGCCTATCGCCTGGAGCTGCGACGCAAGGGGGGAGAGCGGACCAGGCGAGCTGGACGCGGCCAGGAAGAAAGCACGTGATGCACAGGCCACCGGTTTCGCCGAACGCTACAACACGCCCCTGGACGATCACTTCGACTGGGGCGCCCTGGGTAAACTAATCCCGGGCGGTCTCCATGACATTCTCTCGACTCGCGACGCCTGCTTTCCACGTGCTCATCTACCTGATGTCCGGACTGCATCCTCGCGAGTTCTCACTGGCGTCGACGCCGCGACAACCGGGCAAGCTCGACCGCAAGGCGTGGTCGCACCTGGGTTTCCTGTGCGACATGTCCCTGGGGCTAGACGCTACCAATCTTGTCTACAACATGCTATGGGCCGCGATTGCGTGGACCCTCGGCCTGGGCACCCCCTGGCAAGACACGAGCTACGCAGTCCACGGCGACCCCCTTCCACCGTTGCCTCACGTCAGAGGGGGGCGTGCAACACTCTGGGGGCGGCGCCAGTGCACCCCCAAGGGGCTCTTCCGGCAGGTTCCCAAGGCATGGAGCACCGCTACCAAGGACTGCTGTAGACACAGGAAGCACCCTGGTATGCGCGGTTTACAAGACATCCTCCTCGGCGCGCCCGACGGCTTTAAGCGGGATGAGATCCGTGAGGGAATCATAGACACCGACGGCCTCCCCATGGAATCTTGCAAGGCCTGGTCGCTCCTGGTCGTCATGATGCGCATGCTTCGCGAACCGCGCGTGTTCCTGTGGCCCTTCTCCCACGCAGAGCAGGCCGGGGACGTCATCGAAGCCATCCTGGGTTTCTGTGTCCCCTGGCAAGAGGCGCATCAAGGCTTCCGACGCGAATTTGCCCGAACCTGGAGCCTCGCGCTAGACGACCTCGCCGACCTCCATGGACGCATCGAGGCAATCCTGCCCCACATCTCCAAACTCGTGGCGGTAGCGCACCACCGCCCAATTGCGCGGGCAGCTGGCTGCCCGCAGACCTGGAGCGAAATGGACAGGCAGGATTTTCAGCTGAAAGCGCCAATGCTCGTCCTCGAGAAGATCGTCCCGGCCGCCACTCTGGCCTCCCTGGGTGCACACAGCTGCTCGGTTTGCACGCCGCACGTCGCGCTGGCGGGGACCGACACCTCCCTGGGTCCCGATGATCGACTTGCAGGGCTCGCATACATTGGCGGCGGTTTTGCCTTATCCGATACCGATCTCAATGCACCCCTGCCGCCCGCCCCCGCCCCAGGCACCAAGCAGGGCCCTCCTCACATCCCTGACGAAAGGCTCGCTCCCGAGCAGAAAAACGGCAGGTTCAGGTGCGACATGTGGCAGGGACCAGCTACGCTCCACCGATGGAACCTGGATCTCCGACGACACCCGCCAGACGGTCGCTCAGAATAGGCCCCAGGCCTACCTCAACGGCGCGAACATGGGGTGGCACTGCGAGGCCTGCTGGTTGCGCTACCTGGAAGATCAAGGCATTCCAACTCCGACGGGGGCGACAATTGCCGACAAGGTCAAGGAGCACGAGCAGCAGAGGACGCGTGGCGCTAACGACAGGGCGGACGCTCTTCCCTCCCTGGGCCACCTTCCACTTGTCTTTGGATGCAACCCCCAGGCGGACACGAGGACCCTAGCGGATCTCATCATGACGCCGACGGGCATGAAGATCCCCGAGCTGGCCAACACCACCATTCCCATCCTACGGATTCAGGATGATCGTTTCGGCCTCAAAGCTGCCCAGAGCCAGATCTACTCCGCGCGGTGCGACGCATGCCCCCAGGGGGCTCCGCTCCTCGTCTGGGCCGAAGGAGCCCCGCCCCTGGGCTGTTTCCTATGGAAGCCAGCGGAAGGGATAGGAGTGCCCGAGCAGGCGGGGCTGCCGCCCATCGACAAGCGAGCCATAGCCTGGTGGGACCGCAGATGGAACGCCACCTGGTGCTGCCGGCGCTGCCTGGTCCCGATATGGAACACCGGCCCGGCCACCCTGGATCGCATCCTGGATCGGGACTTCGGAACGCTATACCCAGCCAAAGCCCCTGTCCTCCCGGCGCTCAGCAGCCAGATAGTAACCGAGGCATCAGTGGACATATCGGATTCCCTTCCATGGCTAGGCGCAGACGCCAAGGCCCAGGATCGCTTCACCAAAGACAGAACGAGCAACCCCCCTGGGCCCAGCACCGCGGGCGGCACCGCTTCCGCGGCTGAGCGTGCTCCCAGGTCCCTCGCACAGCTCATGGAGCTCTTGCCAGATCTGCCAGTACCGCAGGGCCCGCTCCTGGACAACAGGAACGTTAACCACTTCACCCTGAGCCCAAATGACCCCAGGTGCGGACCAGGCAGTGGTGGACTGTACGCTCAGCGCCTGTTGGTTACCTACCTCCGTGACTTCCACCCCGGGCTGGACTACATCTGGAGACAGTTCTGTCTTGCCAACCGCGACAGCAGCATCCCAGAACCTAGGTGCGATGAGTACGCGTTGCCGAACGACTTTCTGACCGAGTTCCTCAGGGCGATATACGGCGACTGCATCCCTGAGAACTGCATTCCACCCAACCAGCCGTGGGAGGGCAAGCGCGTAGCTGCGGCAAGAGTCGTCGCACACCTCACCAACGGCGAGAAGCA